ATATATATATATATATTACATGCAGATCCTTTTTCTCTTACTAAACCCCTCTGTTTTGTTCCCTACCCTTCTTCTTACCTTAAAAAATCGTCCAGTTACAGTTGTGTGACTGCCACCTTCTTTCTGTAATACCAACCTGGGTTTAATGGTAGAACAGTTGTGACCTGTGCTACCACTAATGAAATTTCAACTCCAAGTATGCCTTGTAGGAACACATGCAGTGGGGGTTACTACGTGATCTGGACTATCGTGCAGACCACTAATTACAAAGGATGTTAACAGTATGATGACTTCTCCCCCTGCAGTCCAGAGGAAGAAGTGACTGAATGATGCTGGATGTCACCCAATTCCGAAATAACTCGGCAGCATTGGGCTGAATGCTACTTCGGAAAAAAATTGTGACTGAAATTTTAGGGGGTGATCAAATAAATGAATAGAGGTGATGCTAGAGCTTGGATTTAGAATAAAGCAGAACTGGGTTTGACTTTAACCCTTTTGCTGCTGGAGCCATTTTTTCATTTTTAGCACACAAGCTAAACTAAAAGATGATGGCAGTTGTAATTTTTTAATGTTGCCATTTATCAAATCTTTACTCGTCAATAAAATAAAATATAATTTCCAATTTTTTTGCAAAATATTTAAGATTGAGCTGCACTGAGCAAATAAAATACTTAATATGAGAAGGATGCCCCGCAAAACAGCGACAAACTAATGATTGTCCATAAGTGATGCTTTAGAATACTTTACAGCTCATCAGTTTAGAATTAACAATAAATGAAGGCCCTAGAATTATTTCTCTTTCACTCTGGTGTGCTTGGTGATACCCAATATGTGTTACACAATTGTCATTTACGCAAGCATGTGTGTCCGACATGCACGTTTTCATTCTTAAGTATATTCAAGGCTTTTTAAAATTCTTTTTTATTTTATTATACTTTTGGTTTTAAAATTTTGATTTTTACTTAGCCTTATGTGAAAGCAATGCAGTTAAATGGTTTATCCACTTAAAGGGAATCATAGTTGATTTGAATCCCCACCCTCCATCCCCCTTAATGAGCAATATACCCGACACTTCCATATACAGAAGCGAGAATTACTCTCTCTACCCTATATCCATTAATTCAGTGCTTTAATAGCCAAGTCCAGACCACAACACTGTCAAATGAGGACATGGGAAGAGTTCTTAGACGTGTGTATGCTCCATCCAGAGGAGAATAAGAGTGGACACAGGATTTATATGTTTTCCTTTGCCCTAGTGGACAAGTATATTGTCATTAATGAGCAAAGCCCAGGTTCACATTAGTGTTCCACCCCACTTTTGTTTAAACTCAGGCGTTAAATCTTAAAAATGCATTCAAGTACGCTATTAAAATGTATCTTATTTGTGTATCACTCGGCTGTGGATACTCAAATCATCTCTGAATTGGTGCTGACACTGTCCT